AGCTTAGGGCTCCGAGGGGCCGACATGGGAAGGCGGGAGGTCCGGGTGCATCCTGGGCCTCGCTGTGTGACCTTGGACAAATACCTGCCCCTCTCTGGGCCTCAGCCTCTTTCTTCAATTGTGTATGGAGGTGATGCCGCCCCCAGTACCATGAAGCTCTCCGGCCTTTCGAGGGGCCGCAGCCCCAGCCTGGGCTGGGAGCAGGTGCACTGGTGTAATTGCAGGGAGGGGTTGGGCCGAGCGGGGGCACAACCGGGTGTGTGTGTGTGTGTGTGTGTGTGTGTCAAAAGTCCATCTGCGCTTGGAATGGGCTTCTGTTATTCTCAGCATCCCGCCCGCTGCACCCCCTCTATTAGAGCCCAGAGAACAGGAAACCCTGATGTGTCAGCCTGGTTCGCACCCTTCCAGAAAACCTGGGGTGGGGTCGCGGCCATCCGAGTTATGTGAGGGGTGGCTCCCAGTGGGGATGGGTGAGTGTGGTGGGTTCCTAAAATGGGAATATATTCGCCCACCCTCTTCCCTTCTCTGCCCCCACCCCCTTCAGTGAAAGAGCACTTGCTTTTTTTGCCAGCAAAACCTCTTTTCCCTGTTTCCCCCAGGAGATAGTTTGGTGGCTCAGATGAGGGTCCCCTTCCCAGGGCTGCCTTGGTAGAAGTTAAAAAACACAAGAGAGAGATGCTGCTGCGCTGAGATGGAGGGGGTGGTCAGGGTTGGAGGGATTTTTGGTTTCAGGGTTGGGACATCCTGGTGCTCCCCAGGGAGTCAAAGGAGGGAAACTGGGTATGAGGGTCAGAGAGAGAGAGAGAGAGAGGGAGAGAGAGAGGGAGAGAGAGGAGAAATGGGCTGCTCATCTCCTAGGTGCTGAGCTGGGGTTTGGAGGGGCTGCTGTGCTCTGGGGTAGGGAGATTCCCATGAGATTCTGTGAGCTTTTGACCTTAGGGTTAACCAGGAATAGTTTGGTGTCTCCCCCCCCCCCTTTTTTTCTTCAGCTTTGGTTGTTTGAGTCATTTCTAGAATGGTTAGAGCCTCACTCAGTCCTGTCCAGTGACCTCTGTAGGGGCATACTTGACTGGTATTTAAGATTCTCAGCATTATGGATATATGAGACCAGACCTGGACAGATGTGGGGGCAGTGACTGGACCAAGGGTTAGGCCAATCCCTAGATGCTTTTCTGGTCATATCTTTAGTTTTATCTCATCTTGCTATCACATGTCTCTCGTTGGTCGCTTGACACTCTTTCACCTCTGTGCCTGGTTCTGTGCTGGGTACTGGGTACAGACAAGGGGAATTGGACCTACTTCCCACCAAAGGAGAGTTCAGCCTGGTGGGGGAGAGAGACATAGAATCCAGTGACACTGCTGAGGGATGAGAGAAGTGAAGAGGGCCTTGGGAAACAAGAGCTCAAAGACTTGGACTGCAGGGGGACTAGAAAAGGCTTCCCAGAAGAGGCATTAACCTGGGCATTGAAGGATGAGTTGGAATTTGTCAGGAGAGAAGAGGGGAAAATCTTTTTCAGCAGAGAGGGTGTCACCAAAAAGTGGCCAGTAGGAAAAGCCAACTGCCCAAATTCCTGTAGATTCACCACTGAACAGCCTTTGTCAAGTTTATCGCCACCCCTGCCCCACATAACCTAAGTGTCACAGAAAGGGCTTCAATGTCAGGCTTAGGAGTTTGGACCTTATATTGAAGGCACTGGGAGCCTTGAGAGTTCTCAGCAGGGGCATGATGGGATGGAGCTTAGCATCTAATGACATTAATCTGATGATGTCTGCAGGGTGGATTGAAGAGACCAGGGAGGGATGAGGAAGCCTGAGATGGGGCCCAGGGTACTGGGGCGGGGCAGAATATTGCACATACACACATACACACACATACATGGTGCTTTGGTGCTCCACCATGCAGGAACAGAGACCAGTCAATACACATTGGAAATGCAGAGGGACAGATAAGGGATCGAGATTTTCCTGTGTGCTTACTGTGTGCCCTGGGGAGGGTTGAATATTGCTGGGACTCTCAGGCTGTCATGCCAACAGTGAGAGGTATAAACCAAGGGCTTGGAGAGGAACAGCAGCATTGGCTGGGAAAGGCTAAGGGGTAGGCAGGTGGTCATCTCCCATTTTGGGATTCAGGGGCTGAGAGAGGTGAAAGAGCACCAACCACAGTGGCTACCATGGAGGGTAGTGGTTGGGCTAGATTCGAAGCCTGGATTCTTCTCCTGCAGGACACATCCTTTTATTGGAGGACAGATTGAGGAAGGGAATGAGGAGACTGGTTGGGAGGATACTGCACTAGTCTAGGCAAGAAGTAAAGAGAGGAGCTAATCTTGGGTTGAGCTGGGGCTTGGGGAGAGACTGGAAACAAAAATTGACAGGACTAATGGATGAAATTCCTGTAGAGTCAGTGAGATCAGGAGTGTGTCTCCTTGTCTCTTTCCCTGACAGTGTCTCACCCCTCAGTGTCAGATGGCCTAGGAGTAGACTCGTGACTGCCCCAGCATCTTCATCTTTTTTATACCTTGTCCCAGCCCCAGCAGTGGTAGGTGGAATGGTCCCCATTTTCCAGTTGAGAAGGCTGAGGGGCCTGGCAGGGACTCAACCAAGGTCACCTGGTGATTCTGAAGCAGAGAACTTGGGTCTCATGATCTTAATGCAAGCTCTTTTGAGGGAGGTCATGGCTGCCATTTGCTGCTCTGTTTGGCGTGGGGAAGCTGCCTCTTGGGTCAGAGCCAGAGTCCACAGGCCATCTCTTGGTCCAGTGCCTAGAGGAGTAACTGAACCTCCCCTGAGGAACGCTGGCTGTCTGCTTCTTCCTTCCCGAGGGAAGCTGAGTGCAGGTTCTAATCTCACCCTGCTGAGGCTGTGTTCCTCTCCCTTGGTGATCCTTGGCTTCCCCATTCATGCCATAGGGATAGCAGGCCTTGTCCTGACTCCTTTCTGTGGCCTGTGATAGGGTCAGGTGAAGTTCAAGCCTCTAAAACCCGTTTGCATGAATGCATCAAAGACATTAATGAGCGAGTTTGTTGGTGACCATAGTGACAGCTGACCTCAGACTGCCTGTGTGGGAGTGGGGGCAGGTAGGCAGGAATTGCCTAGAGTGACCAGGCCGTGGATGATACAGAGGCTGCAGGGCTGGCCTTGGAGATCAGATCCCTCATGGAATGGCTCCACTGACTTAACTCCCAGCTGCCAGGTACAAACCACCTTATGTGGTAGGTATCAGGTAGAACTATATGAAATTGCCAACATCTGATTCTTCACTTTCATGGGGTTCAACCTAATATTATTTATCACCATTTTCAAAAGAGAAGAGAGGCTCACAATTGGATTTGCTCAAGGTCACACAGTGAGCTGTAGGACTAGAATAAGATTTGCTCAAGGTCACACTAAAATGCAGAACTCATCATTCCTAGTCTGACTTTCTACTTCCAGACCCTTCCCTAGCCCCAGAGCCCCATTTCTGCCTGCCCCGGTCCTCTTCCTCCACATGTGATGTCAATATCTGATCAATTAGGGTTTCTCCTTGGCTGCCTGAGTACAGACATACCTCAGAGATATTGCGGGTTCTGCTCCAGACCACTGCAATAAAGCAAATTGTAATATTTTTGTTGGTGGAGGGTCTTGCCTTCAGTTTGTAAAATACGCAACATCTGTGAAGTGCAGTAAAGCAAAGTGCAATAAAATGGGTATGCCTCTACCTGAATTACTGGCATCCTGGATTGAAAGCATATTACATACTAAATTCACTAGCCTGGAGGGCAGGGGTAGGGGTTTGTGCAGATGGCCTTTAAAGGAGGTTGGTCACAGTCACTGCTTAGGAAAGAGAGGACCAGGGCTGAAGGGAGACTAGTTTTTAAAGATGCCTTCAAAGGCCTTTTGATTTTGACTTGCCTTGGCACTCTTTGCTAACACCTCTGCCCCTAACATCAGACTGGAGGCTCCTAAGGGCAATGACTGCTTCTGAAGTCAAGAGGACTGACATTTTCTGAGCACTTTCTTGTGCGCAGCAGCATGGTATGGACTTTATATTTGTCTTCACAACAACTCTGCAGGGTGTTAACAGGCTCAGAGAGCATAAATAACCTGAATGGTAAGCAGAATGCATCCCAGATGACTCTGAGGCAGCCAGGCCAGTGTTGGGGAACCACTGACCTGTACCCTGGCTGCACCCGCAGTAATCTCTTCAGAGGCACTCAGACTGCAGTGACTGGCATGGGAGATGCCAGCCACTGAGAAAAAAGCCCCAGTCACTTCCCTGTGGAGCTTGCAGTCTGTTGAGTGAGACAAAGATCTAAATAAATGGGCCCATTGCATTGTAATGCATGTAGTAATAGAGATTTGGTCTTGGCCAAGACCTAGGACAGGGAAGAGAGTGTGTCTCCACAAGGCCTGGCACATAGTCAGGGTCCCACAAGAAAAGTTTCTGGCCCCTCTTCTAAAGTTCTGTCTTGTCTTCACACCAACTCCAGGTCTCAAGAATAGAGTAGTGTTTACTGAGTCCCTAAGTTTAGTGAAACACCTACTATGTGCTAAGCCTTATATCTGGTCCTGCCTACAGTGGAATTATACAAAACAAAAAAATGGCTTTGCCTTCTCAGAGCTGAAAGTTGGATATTGCAAGAGCAAACGGTATCCAGGTGAACCAGCGAGAGAATTGGGAGCCGAAGTGAATCAGTGGGATGAAGGCTTCTAGGAAACAGCTCACATGGAGGGGAAGGGCAGAGGGAAGGCTATTATGGCTCAGGAATAAGGGAGCAGTTTCTCATGCTGTATTCCCCATTTGCTCACTCAACAAATGCCTACTGTGTGCCAGGCACTGGCCTAGGTGCTGGGGATACCACAGTGAACAAAACCTGACATGGTTCCTGCCCTCAGGAATCTATAGGCACACCTCAGAGATATTATGGGTTTGTTTTCAGACCACTGCAATAAAGCAAGTCGTAATCTTTTTGCTGGTGGAGAGTCTTGCCTTCAATTTGTCAAAAACACAACATCTGTGAAGTGCAATAAAGCAAAGCAGCCTCCTCCACTATAGCACACAATACAGTGAAGGAGGCTGACTCCAGTCAAGTAATCAACATAAGTGCCGTAAAGGAGGACCCGTTGCTCTGAAATTAACAGTGGTGTTTGCACCTGGCAGGAAAGCCAGACAAAGCTTCCTCAAGGAAGGTGTAGATCATTTAAGAAAGAGCAAGAAGTTGACTGGGGATAGAGTACAATATGCAGGTGATCTCGGGAAGTCCTGCTGGCCCTCCCTTTCTGGAGGTGTTGTGTGTGTGTGTGCGCGGGGCCGGTCTCATCTCTCCCACAGGATATGACTGGCCAAGAATCTGGACAGCAGCTTCTACTTGTCCCAATAGTAGGTGAGGCTACTAGGGAGGCCTGGGGAGAGTGGGTGGGTAAAGGGGTGGGAGGAAGGCGAGGGCTCAGGTGTTTGTGAGATTAAAGACGCTCATCAGCAATAACTACAACTCACTGGGGCTTATTATATGCCAGGCCTTGTGCTTTTCTTCATCAAGACACCTTCTAGCGAGGAAGGTATCCTTGCCCCACCTCACAGATGAGGAAACAGGCCCAGGGAGGTTGAGTTGCGCGCCCCAAGTCTCCGCACGCCGGGAACCACATGGGGAATTAGACCTGTCTGGCAGAGTGTGACCCGCTCCGTGTCCCCTGCAGCGCGGCCGGCAGCCATGGACAAGATCCTTGAGGCGGTGGTGATGTCGTCGTACCCGGCAAGCGTGAAACAAGGGCTGGTGCGGCGCGTGTTGGAAGCGGCGCGGCAGCCCCTGGAGCGGGAGCAGTGCCTGGCGCTGCTGGCACTGGGCACGCGCCTCTACGTGAGTGGCGCCGACGAGCTGCCGCGCCGCGTGGGCTGCCAGCTGCTGCACGTAGCGGGCCGCCACCACCCCGATGTCTTCGCCGAGTTCTTCAGCGCCC